GTATCAATTTTAAACGCCCTAGAATTAGCTAAATCGGCGCTTTTACGGTGATTGCGCAATATGGGTGCCCTATGACCTTTGACTTTTTACGGGTCATGCTGCTCAGGCGCTAGGCGCCCTCCCCACGTCGGCCGTCCGTCTTGTGGGCAAATTTCTACTTTTTTAAGGGTTTCGGGACCTAAAAACTAACACCAGAGGGAAAATAAACCACATACGTTTTTTTTCATGGTAAATATCGCTAAAATGGACCAGGCATTTTTCTGCCGCGTTGCCGATTTTGACAAGGACTTGCGGCCGCCATGTGCTATTACGTCGATTAGCTATTCGCCTTCCCCTTCGGTTTTGTGGGCAAATTTTTGCTTTTTCAGACGTTTTGGGACTTAAAAATGGACAGCAGGTGAAAAATAAATAATATACATTATATTCATGGGAAATGCCGCTATCATGGACCAAATATTTATCTGTGACGTGTTGCCGAATTTTGCGGCCGCCGGCCACTTGCTGATGGTGCGGTACGTATGGACAATTTTTTTCCCAAAAATTAATAAACGTACCGTCCCTAATAAGAGTGTACCGGGTGGACGTTCGGGCCGAAAAAAATAAACGTACCGGTACGTTTAATCGGGACATCAGAGTAAGTTATACATACTTGATTGTTGATGTTTTGTACAGGTCAAGCCAGAGGGGATTGTGACCAGACGGGCGTGTTCGCCTGGCACATCGGTCTGGTGATCTCTCAAGTCTTCATCAGGATAAAGCATCTCAGCATCCATACAAGAAACACTGGGAAAACACAATCTGTCCTTGATGATAACAAAAGGGACAAAATGGCAAACACTGACTGGAAATGGCAGAACATCCAGCTTACTTAGGGTGTGTTACTGTTAGTCAGTTAGTCTTTAGAAGCTGTCAAGCCTCTTGGAAACCCAGACCTCGGGGACTGAGCCTGTGGCTCGGTGGGGGCTTGCTCAGCTTAGTTAGATGGGTTTGCTGGATGTTAATGCTTAAATCAATTTTCAGGTTTACTCTTTGTAAATTTGAAGGGCACTATGATTGACGTTATCCAAATGGTTCATTGATGCGTCTTTCCAAAATATTTGTCCTCACAATGTTTGACTGTCACCAGGCTGTGTCGGATGTAGTGCGCTGTCACGAAGTGTTGTTTCTAATTTCCATGTTGAGAAGAGTCTGTGAATATCATGGTATATATAATGGTAGGCACAGAATCTAGGGTAGGCATGGAGGACCGTGACCTTGCGCAATGATAGCGGTCCACAATATCAAACAAAATTAGTGTCTGGAAATCGAAGAGCACGACATCGATGTAAGGCCATTTCTAATGTACTGAACATGGCCACAGATCCTGCCATCTTGACGATTCCAGCATGAGTTTTGTCGGCTCGGACAAGTAGAGGTAGTTCTTCTATCGTGTTTTTCGTACAATTACGTCATCGAAAAATACAGCCAGCACATTCTGAAGTCCCGTTAGCACTTAGGAATGCAGATGTTTTCCACAATGTGATCAGGATCCCTCAGGTTTGCGGTGTTGACTAATTCACCCATACGATACATTCTAAGCTTGAAGTTCAACTTGTAGCTGAAATAGGAAAATGAAATGTAGTAAATACAGTTTTCATGGGCGTTTTGTAAACATTGATTAAGTTACAATTCATGTCACAAACATCTTTGGTCCAGTACCATATAAACCTTTAATCTTACACAAAAGCTTTATAACGAGAAAACAATACTCACTGTTTCCTCGCATTGCTTCTGGCGTTCATCACCATGTGTGATGCAAAGCTATGAAGAATGGTCATGTCAATTTCCCCACTCCTTACCTTCCCTGTCACAATCCTGAAGCAACGGTTTAGGTAACGTTTTAGTGACTCGGATGAAAACACGACAAGGAAACAATAAGAGTCATACTACGGTCAGCCATGACTAGCAGGGGAATTACTTTTGCCCTTCAGCAAAGTCTTTTCTCACGTCGAAGCCAGACTTAAAATCATGACAGAAAACGGAACAACCAAGAATCATGTATTGGCGGAACGTGTTTAATTCACAAACCAGCAGAATACAATCATATTCACAGATGAACAGAGTGGGGAAAGTCAGAGCTTCTGTAAACATAAGTAAACAAATGGTGTCGCAGCGCAAATCTTTTTAGAGTTAGGCGCTGTCAATTTCCGATTTTGAACACGTACATACAAGGGGCGGATAACTTACTAGAGAGACAATGTTTATACAATTTTAGCCACCAAAGCCCGCCAAGGGCGGGCCAGCAGACAGATGGTCTTATAATAATAATAACTTCATTGTGCAACAGTTGTGCATGGTACAAAGTATGGCATCTACTAACTTAAGTAAGTACATATCAATTACATTTTCATAAGGCTAAACTAACTAATACAGAAGTGGGTGGCTAGCATGAGACATGAACTTACACACTCTTTGGAAGAGTTTCTAATATCCATACAGTCTTGAATATATATCCCTATGTATAGCATTTAGGGGTTGTCACAAGTCAATATGTGATATGCTTTTCAAGTTCATCGTGGCAAATGCTGGAAAGGAATCTGATAGTCTAGTGTATAGTGTATTGCGTATATCCATATATTTAGGACACACAATTAGAAAGTGATATTCGTCCTCAATAAGCTCTGGACAAAATGGACAAACCCTCTGGTCATTGGGAATTTTATATAAGAGGCGCCAAAACACAGCGACATCCGACGGGGGCAGGACGTTATTGATCTGTGATGTAACTTCGAATTCAGTCCAAGCTTAGGTAACAATCCCCTCTGTCTACCCGAGACATCACCGGCAGGGAGAATCACAATCACTTGGTTGTCGGCAAGGCATCGAGAATGTTGGCAACAGCCCTTGTGATGGCACTGGTAAGGGATTAGGACACCTTGAGAGCAATGGTTACTTCTTCACACAGTGCTTCAACCCGTTCATGTGGCAACCAGGTCCAACGCTTGGCCTGATCAGCTTTTGTACCCACGCTGACGACCGGAATTGCGCTCAGAGGTAACTACAAGGTTTAGTCCTCCAGAAAACAGTGACTTCCCCAGTTCTGTTAGCTCATGATCACTTACGCACTTCATCTTCCTGTCCTCCCTTCTGGCCATGTGCCGTAGTCTTTGTTCGGGATCTCAAGACTAACGGATACATACACCATCACCCCTCCCACACTCACCCCCTCCCCCCACACTCCTCCTCCCCGTCACCCCCCCCCCTCACCCCACTCACTTGTTCCTGATTGGTGCTGTACCAGTACCAGTCTAGCCTCAGTGTCCCATGCACCATAGAATGCACATTTGCTGATAATATCTTGTTGTTCACCATGTCAAGGAAGCGGTGCGTAGCAACCGCATCCCACCTTCCTTCTGTCGACCGGGAAAGCGACTGTCGAACGGGAAAGCGAAGGTTTTATGGCTCTGATGTAGCACCTCATGGACTGTGAAAAACACTAAAGAGGGGTGTAATACAAATTGGAAGGAAGGCATTATAGTAGTCAACAATTCTTGCTTCGAAATGTCAAATGAAGACAGGTTTTCTTATTTAGAACTATAGAAATGAACCAACAAAAATGAATATACACACCTGAAAGGGCACCTCAAAGAGTTCTGCCGGCATCTTCCTAAGTGATGCGATGTCTATGGTACGTACATTCCCGTAGTCAATGAAGACCTGCATATGAGACATAAATATTTACTGTCCCTCTCACTGGGTTCCAAGAGAATCCGCTCTCCTAGGGGACGCGCTGTGTTGTCCTTGGGGATTCTGCTATTCGTGCTGCAACGCCAAGGGTAAGATCCCGTCTCGCCGGGTGTCCACGGATTAGCCGAGTTCTGCTTAACACTTGCCACAGGTGTTCCTGTGTGATAACAGCAGATTGTACAACACAAACTCTTACCCGGTCCACTGCACTTGTCTCGAATTATGACCGGATCAATCTCGAATAAGAAATCTTTACATGAAATCTTTAGGCCAGCTTGTTTACTTCAATATGATAATGCCGAGCCGTCACCGGCATTAACTCTACGTGCTCGAACAGCCTCATCTCTTGTCAAAATACCATTAAAACTACATAACTACTAATATATATATATCATATATATCGCAAAATGTCGGCCATTTCATACTCCACTGCACACGGAAAAGAAGTCAAACCCAACAATAATTACAAATGTATATATAAAGTAGCATTAGCATCACTTATTATCATTCTACTGTTCACTGTTGTTATTATGTTCTTGCAACTAGCCCTTGGGCATGAATTTGCAATAAACTTTCTTTCTTATACTAATCAAATTTAGCTATACTGTTTTTCTTTATACTGGCTCTGGACTTTACTGAAGTTGGCTTTAATAAATTAATTCCTAAAACGCACATTTATCCATTATTCGTTACTTTACTGTAGTAAATCTATGGGTGGGTTATAAACAGTAAACCGAGTCTGACGATTTCATGTGTCATTGTCAGCAGGTGGTTGTCGGAGATGTCCTCTACGGGAATGGTTCCATAACTGTTCTCACTCAACCAGAGAACACGTGTTGCCACCTCCTTTGGCTTCAAAAGATACCGAGGTATTGCTGCAGGCAAACAGCACAAAGCTTGCCAGGTGACTAACTTAACTTAACTTGACTAGAATGTCTTGGGCGGACAGATGATTACCATCTTTCTGAAGAGGGCATTTGCCGACTTACAACTGTTCTGGTTGCACAGATAATGATTTTTATCTGTTCCTACAACAACACGGTTTCTTAGAACTTGGGAAACCTGACGTCTGCAGTATTTTACAACGTTATCAATGGAACTTCTGCAGGGCTGCAGATTATTTCTTGTACGGAACAGTCGTGGTGAAAATCTTCAGGATGTTTCGCAAGATATTTCAGATCTTCAACCCTAATCGATGAGACAGATGACGGGATACCTACATTGAAAATGGAGGGCATGTGAGGGGGTAGCTTGTATCGGCATCTCAAGCTAACAGGCAGTCCAGTATGTACATTGTGTTATCTACATAGCTGTGGACGAAATTGGTTAATGTTTGTCACTTCAACTTCCCACAATCTACCGTCCTGCTCCTGACACCTATATTCATTAAGTCTGTTAGTTTAATGGGTGGCGTGCGGAAGCTGCAAGGTATTTGACGACAATTTTGTCTTCACATGATATATTTATGGAGTTCAGACACATTTTTGACATGTCATCTAAAACTAGTGGCGGAGAATGGACCCCCTTGAGATGTATCAGTTGTGACCTTTCCCGTGCTATATCCCATTCCATTTGGTCTGTCGACCCCCGTCAGAGGCAAGACCCACCTCCAGGATCCCACACCCGGCGGCAGGCCCTCTGATGCCTCGCCATATTGGAGTACGACAACTCACGGTCACCCTTCCCCTTGCCAAAGATCTGAGTTCCTCTATCGGAAGTTAACTCCGAGCGATCATTCAGGTGTGCTATGGTCAGTAGGTTTTGGAGTTTGAGTTCAAGAGTAGCCTGTGTTGAGCATGATTTGTAAGAATGGCGGTTCCGTCCTAGGACTGGTTGGTGGTTAGGGGTCCATTTACAACTTTTTACATGAGAGTTCCTGAGCGGAAACCGAAAGCAGTTCCTACAATTCAGCATCAAAGACATTGCACAGTGATGCACAAAATTCCTTCACAGCCGCCTTCTTCCGCATTTGAACCACAGAAGCGTCAGGATTCGTGGTGTGAAAAACTAAAAAAACTAAAACGAAAAACTAAACTTTGCGACCTTTGTAGTCAACATGAAGTACATATTACTGACCTGGAGGTCGTTTCAAACAAAATTTCTATAGTTCTCACTGTTTGTTAACAACATGGATAAATCGTGGACAGAGCAGGTGTCGGAAAATTAAGATAAGTCGAAACTCTACACACTGAAGTATTTTGTGCTGTACCTGTTGTAGGCAACACAGATCCCATCATAATTAGCCAATATGCAGTGCCTTCCTGTCGAGGTGGGTACTACATCGACACGGGCAAACACAAACT